CAAACGATGATGATGATAGGGGTGGTCGTTTCAGAATTAGTCGAGATGTACAAATAGAGGATGTGAATGAGCACCTGTTTCAACAGCTTCGGCCTCGTTTGTCTTCCAATGCTTCGCGATGTTTTCAGAAAGAGGATCGTCTGGATTTGGCGCACTCAAAAGAGCTTGAATACTACACATGGAATTCAAATGGCATTGACAAGGCAGCTTGAATCAGTCGTGCAGTGCAGTTTTTAAGGGGATGGGGGAGGAGAAAACACTTTTTAATGCTAAAGAAAAACGGGAAATTCTAAGGATCCATTTGATGGCTAAAAAGTGAGTTGTGATACTAGCAGTGAACAATATATTCCATGAAATCAAGGAAAATGTATTCTGGAAAATTAGTTGTTTATCTGTATAATGTTTGACCCAGAAAAATAGGAAAATTTAAATTCTTAAAAACTGCTCAAGGATAATGGCTTCTAGAAATTCTGGAAAATGTTTTGAAATAAAACATACTCCTCCCTCCATCCGGATTTAATTGCCTAGTTTCTTACTCCCTCTGTCCCCCTAAGATGTTCTCATTTTGACTTTTGGTTGTTTTTAAGGAGAGTTGAAAAAAGGTGAAAGTTTACCATAATACCCTTAATGAAAAATGGGTGGAGTGTATTAAATGAGGTGGGTGAGGTGTAATAAATAAAGTAAGTGGGGGTAGTTGTGGTATTTTAATTGTTAAAAAATGAAATGAGAAGATCTATTGTGGACAAAGAAAAAAAGCAATTGAGAAGATCTATGAGGGACGGAGGGAGTATTTCCGTTTGTCCATAACTAGTTGTCCACTTTCCATATTCATTAAAGAAATTATTATGAATAGTCTAAAATATCCTAGAGATACGGTATAATGATTGTTGAGAACTTGACATGAATGAACAAACTTATTTGAAGGATTTATTTGACATTTTAAACCCATTTCTTAAAAATGCTTTTTTTTAAAGAAAGTGAACTAAATCAAGATAGACAGAATATTTTCATGGAAAGAGAGAGAGAGAGAGAGCCTAAGTGAAACACCAGTATCAAATCCATAGTTATCTCTTTCATTTACTCTAAACGACTGCCGCAGTCCTCTTTTTTCTGCTAGAGCTCACAGACAAATTAGCTTCCTATAATGCAAAGCAATGTTCCAAAAAGCACCAAGTAGACAAAAAGCTAGGACCAAGTGTGTAAGAGAAACTCTACACGGGAAGATGATTAGTCAGCAAAACCGTAGAGATACCAGAAACATGAATACCTTAACAACACAGTTCGTATCTGAAGAGCAGGACTCCATTTGTCTTTAAGAATATCAAGACAGATCCTTCCAAGCTGCACACAATAATTCAATTATCTGTTTTTTAAGCCACGGCTTCATTTTCAAGATGTAATGAGATGAAGCAAGTGTAACAAACCTTATCAATGTTAGGGTGGTAGATTTTGGTGAGGAACCGAACCTGTCAAATATAAAGTAGGAATGATGATTGCATGGGAAGGGGATGAAGGGCAGTCATTGGAATAAGTGCCTTCATATTTCATATCAATAGAACATGCTTAAAGTATTCCAAATTAATACACCTATCAGAACATTACATATTCAGCACAAAATTAAAATCGGTACATGTAGCTCTGCAATGGAAATTCAGCAGAGGAAGTAGCAATTACAAAGAGGAGAAATAAGATACAACATCTTAATAACAACAATGGATTAAATAAATGCACATGCAATCAAGCAAATACAGAAGTATAGACATAACCATTGCAACCCCAGCTCCAATGGTTTGTTTTGTTGACACCTTGACAAGAGTATTTATTGCATTTCTATCAAGAAAAGCTAGTTGGAGTTTTTGGTAGGATGAAATTACTTTCCTAATGAACTATTTCCCCATGAATTCACAGAAATATCAAACCAAATCTTTCGTATTGTTTATTCAAGATGGATGTGAAAGAGAAAAACACGTGATTGGACTACGATACTCCTCCAGGCATACCAATAGGAAAAAGGATGACACTGTAAATAGTACGAACGATGTAGTAGAAGTTATTAAAATACCTTAGGAGCAGCCATTGGGTATTCTTCAGGTAAAAATAATTCCAGCTTGAAAACGCCTCCTACAATGAAAATTCATGCAACTCGCATTGAGTGAACAATCAAGCTGAGTCTATCATCGGAGCAAGAGATGAACATTATGTTCTGGATCAGGGATAAACTAGTGAAACACACTTTACCCTTACTTTTCTCCCCAGAAGATGAATAAAAGAGTAAGAATTCATACAGTTTACGCACACAGAAATCAATTTAAAGTTATGAGGAAACCAAACGAAGAAGAGAAAATTAACAATGAGATATTCACATATCATCTTGTCCAAAGAAAAATGAATTACCTTCATAAGGAGACTGTGTTGGACCAAGAATCATCACATTAAAATATCGCATGTTCTCTTCGGATGGAGAAGCACTTATTCCAGGTGCTGCAATCAAATTGAATAGTATTAAATTTCTTACAACTCTTTTTAGAGTGTTTTATCTTTTTGCATACACTTTAGAAAGGCTAACAACAGATATATGGGGATCATATGACATGACAATGATGGGATTTTGAAGGTGGAAGCTGGGTGGCTCCTTATGTTGGAGGGAAATTAACATGTAATATTGTAGAGTCTTCTGAAACTCCCTCAAAAAGAATTAATTAACAATGCAAACACCTAGATCAATTTGAATTAATTAAAAATACATTTCTCTAGGACTCCTGACTCATCCTAGGACACGTCTTGTAGTTTTCATCTCCTATGATGTACTCCGTACTAACATACTTTTTTATCACATGTACCAACTACTGCCTATTTACTGCTTTCCATATCAGTATTCGGATTCCTATATTTTATTTTTTAGCATAATATTTATTCTGTAATACGGTGTAGAAATCATCGACGGGATATAGAAAAAAGACTATGAATAAATCGTGGGAATAAAATATTTTAATACATGGACGCTTGCCAAAGGTTAATTAAAATTACCATTAGAACAACACATCAAAGTTTAGATTCCTAGTTTTTCAGACTTCATACTTCTGCTAAAATTAAGGTGAATAGATCAAGCCCTAAAAATATACTATGTATATTTATAGTCAAAGCAATGCATTACACATCATGAAATGTCAAACTTGAATCTTATTCTAGAAAGAAAAGGAGTACTATTCAAGTTCAAAAGAGTATAACATATCTTCACGGCAAAGAAGAAAACAAGAAATCCAGCACAGATGCGAGTACTACAAACTACACGTGCGTTTGTAATTCCAATTGTGTCAGTAGGTAACGCGGGCACAAAATAGAGACGGAGGGTTACCTGGCTCGCTGAGAAGCCGCTGAGTTTCCTGAAAGAGAAAAGCGAACACAATTAACAGAAAACCCTACTGAATATGGATCGAAATAGAGGAGGGATCGCAAAATCAAAACCCTAGATGAGTCGGAAATAGAAAGAAAAAACGGATCAAATGAAATCCGATTCCAAGTAATCGGCTGAACCAGAAAGTAAAACGGACGAGATCGGCGGCAGAAAAGCGACGGTACCTTGATGATCCTGCGGGGAAGATTGCTGTTCGCCATTGAATTATTGAATCGGAAGCTCCTCCTATCTGCCGGAGTCTGGACGCTAGAAGAAAAGTACGGAGTGAGAAGGGGCCTTTGAAGAGAGAGAGAGAGAGATAAAGTGGCGTGTGAATTTCAGGGAGACTTTCTCCCACCCAGAGCAGCAGTACGATAAAATATGTTCTTGTATCGGATTAAAATTTACACTTAAAAAATGTAAATTTTTGCACTTTTTTTAATTGATAATAAATGATCTTTTTCATTTTTGGAAGTGGAGTGGAAATACGCCTAACGCCCGAGGCATCATTGGCTGTTTCACACCGATAGGGCAATAAACACCACATCAATCTTGGTTATCGGGGGTCTTGCGCAACGCGTCAAACGTTTAAAGCTATTATTCGACTTTATCATGAGAGGTATTTATGTAAGCCGACGACGAGCGGCATTGAGCAGTTACATGCGAGGCATGCCGCTAAACACGATTTTGTTGGTATGCTTGGGAACACCAATTGCACGCATTGGAAATGAAAAAGTTGTCATGCTGCGTGGCATTGTGAGTTCTCTCAGGATGGTCATCCCAATCCTACTATTCTGCTCGAAGTTGTGGCTTCAAATGACTTGTGGTTTGGCATGTTTTTTTGGTGTTGCGGACTCGAACAACAATATTAATGTTCTTGATCAATCGTCTGTATTTGACGATTGAGTAAATAACACTGCACCTGACTCGTCTTTTGAGTTTAGATGGACGCTTTACAAGTGCGAATATTATTTAACCAATGGAATAAATCTAGATTATTTCATAATTGTCAAGTCTCTCTCGGAATTAATCAGTCTTAAACGACAAACATACAAAAAAGCTCATTCGACGGCAAGAAAGGACATCGAACGAACCTTCAAGGTATTGAAGGATAAGTGGCGCGTTATAGGTCGCCCGTTCAAGCGTTATTCTCAAACAAAAAATGACGAATATGGCACAAAAGTTAAACATCAATAATAAAGTCGTATCCCATTAATTATGATGTGTCAATTGGTGGGACTAGATTTTGGTCCTAGCATTGGACATGCTCTTAGAACTGCGAAACAATTTGTAATCATCAAATACAATCTTAAAAAGAATATCAAATCAAACCATAAAAAATTCAGATCAGACAAAAATATGTCTGAAGTTACATTTCACGTGGCAGTTTTATGTTTTACATAAAGCCCGCGGTGTGTGCCATTGTTTTCTAATCATTATAGGTTAATTTAACTTTGATTAGATAATTGTCTGGAACAAACATGAGATAATCTAATAATAAGAATCATTTCTCTCCTTTACACATTAAATTCTTGTTTGTTGCTTTTACATTTGACCTTTAAAAAAAGGAAAAATGGCACTCAACTTTATTTATTAAAAAATGTCACCTCTTTTTTTTTGCAAATTTATGAAAATCTTTCTTGTGAGAAAAACCATATTTAATTTATTAATTATAATTTAATTATTTTCCTTCGATATAACTATAATCAAGTTAAAGGAATACCATCCAAATCCAACACCATATGCACCATATGATCTTCCTAAAAGAGAAGTAGGTTTTTCAACCTTTTGATAGCCACTGTTATTGGAAAAAAAAAACTTGTCTTAAAGGTTCCTATATACGGAGTAATTTATAAACTACAAGAAAAGTTTTTCTTTGTAACTCTGTGCTCCTCTTCCTAATTCTTTCTCAAAAACGTAGATTGTGCAATTAAATAGTTTTACCAATCTAAGTACAAAATTAAGTTGCTTAAATTACTATTTTATACCATTTAACAATATGTTCATCTATTTTGTAATCAAAATTAAAATAGAAATTACATATTTAATATTTGAAGACGGATATCACCTCAAAACTACAGCCCAAAGCACCTCAAAGAAAGGCCATAAAATGCCCATATGGTTTGGGCCTCACAAAATAAATGCATTTCGACACAAAATAACGCAAGATATTCTTTCGTTTATAATCGTACTTCCTATATCTTTATATTTTTTTCTCTGATTCAAAACGTTTACACTTTATACAAAATAAAATGAATTTTTAAGTTTTTTTAGTTTATTTTATTTAAAAATTGATATATAATTTAAAATAAAACTTATATATTTAAAAATTACACCAAAATTTTTAAAACACAAGAGATGACAAAAAATATTTTATTTTATCAAATAATTGATCAAACCATACAAATGAACAAATGTTTACGAAATTTTAGAATAGTGAAGAGTGAAATTCTTTATTGGGACTGAAGAAGTAAAACATTTAAGCTAGAGTTGAACTCTCAAAACTTGATATGTGATGTGCTTATTAAGCATTCTTTTACCAATTCAGCAGGTCATATGGCATGAGCGTAAGAGATTAGCGTTAGCTTTTTGAAAAGATTATTCGACGGTAATCTGTAGCGTTAATGTTTTCAGAATTAATTTTTGCGGTTAAAATTTTATTTCAAAATGCTAACGCTAATTTCTCAAACAAGGCCTATATGGCAATTACGAACTAAGCATTTTAAGAAATATTTTTAACCGGAACTTTGGTTCTATATAAGATAGAGATATAGATGAACATAATAAAAACTCAAATTGAAAATAGTGAAGGATAGCTGCCTTCATTGCAAGCCCTTATCTTTCGAAACCTTTTTGTTTTGTTAAATTGATTTTTTGGTACAATCCAATAAAAGTATCGTTTGCCGGCTTTCCATTATTTTTGTTTCAAACAATAAAAATAATCTACATTTTCAACGTATCAATTTTTTATCACGTCCCTTTTTCAAATTTCACAACACACACATTTCTTTATATTCCGTTAAGTCCCGTCAAACTCTCCATAATACATTTAATATATTTAGTTATAATATAAAATTAATATAACTGAATTCAGTTTATAATATAAAACTAATATAACTGGATTCAGTTTATAATGTATATTTGATTTTATAAAGCTTTTAGATCTTTATTTATTTAAAACTACATTTATTAATAGTCATAATGTGTAATAGTTTGACCAGAAAACTCAAATTGTAAATTAAAGTATTTTGTTGGGAAAGAGTGAGTATGTTATGCCATTCCATACATTTTTGCTGTCGATGTTGTATTTTGTTCGATTCTCTGATAGCTCTATACCTCCTTAGTCCTTCCCGCAATCGATCCGTGATGCGAGCCGATTGCAACGCTTAGCCTGGAGCCCTGGACGGGCACCATTGTGGACTCGCTCGTGATAAGGTCTTAGTGGTCAGTATACATAAAGGGATGGATTTTTCGGTGAAAATGAGGAGTTAATACTCCATTTATCCTTGAATCAGAGCGTATATACCATGTTACACTTTTTCTCGGCCTTAGTTCTTTTTATACCCTCCTTTAATTATATTGTTTGTGGGATTCAATGACCATCACTCTCTTCCAACTTCAATGGTAGGTTTAATTTGTGTCTATTTTTATTATGTATAAAACTAAGACGTGTCACAAGAATTTTTCTCTGGGAACCACTTGAGCTACTCGAGCAGTCACCTAATCTTACATTCTTACCCTTATATAAAAAGCATGAACCATCTATGTGAAGACATGAGTACTTGTATAGGCTCTATGCTTACCATAATTGTCTTTTAGTGCACGGTTGACAGAAATCAAACTCAGATTTACTTTCTGGGCACCCTTGCCTTACCAACTCTGCAACACTCGCCGGCTAAGCTAACCCTTAAATTCATCCAATGTGGTTGTGGTTGTGAAAATATTGTTCCCAACATGCATTGATATCATATGATAACCAAATTATATATGCATAGTAAAATTTGCACTAAACAGGATTAAAGCATAATGACTTTTCCAATGTAGGACTTAAGCTTTTTTATTCTCTAAATAGGACTTAATAATGACCTAATGGGAAGAATAATGTCCAGTAATGATGGACATTTACTTGAATAATGACTACTTGTTAATGACCAAGAGTCCTACTTCTCATATGCATATACATAATACAATAAGCTCTATATCTAGTTTGCTAACCCTAGAAATTAGAAAAACAAGCCTAAGAGTGGGTGAACAAACATCCTTTTAAGTAATAGGTGTGCCGTGTTTGGTTTGTTTGTTTTTTCATATTTTTTTTCAAATGGGAAAAAAACTTCAAGTGTCCAAAAGCAGTGCACAATTTGGGACTAATTGCAATCAAAGAAGTTAATGATTCTAACAACTCATATTGCATAATTTCAACCCATGCCCTTAAATTGGATTAATGAAAAGAAATCAGAGGACTGTAAGTATTGGGCATATTTGGAAGTGGGGACTCATTTTTTTTACCATATGCATGTGGACCACTTACTGTCATTATCAAATCACCAATTATGATTTGGGTTTTGATTAAGCCCCCAAACTGATCTCCATTAATTACTTTATTTTGTTGGCTTCAAAAAATTAAATTATTTAATGTTATATTATTAATCACAACTGTAGTATATGACTGGTCCAAACTTTTTAAAGCTTATGTACAAAAGAAATAAAATCAAACTAGTGTTTTACATAAAGTGTCAATCTTTTGGGCACGAAACCAGTATTTAAATTTAGTTTTAGACTATTGAACAGATATATTATGTTAGAACATTAAAAACTATATAAATACAGTCACACCATTATATTATATTCTGAATATTAGTACTCTTCAAGTATCTAAGACTACAAGTGTACAATTAGTGAACTTTGTTGATTACAGAGCGTTCAAGAAAAACCTTTGAATTTAATTAAAATAAACTATTTGTACATTATGACAAGGCTCCAGGGACCATACCGGATCGAACTACGAACTGAACTAAATAAGACTTGTGGTTTTATTTGGTCTCTGTTTTTTGTTGTAAGGACCAATTGGTAAAAAAAAGTAGTCTTGTCTAATCCTCTACCATAGCCGGTCTTTTTAAATGATCGGTCCAGTCTGACCGCATCGGTCCTTTTGCTTTTCTCTAGATGTAGGGCTCGTTTAGAAATAACGTTTTCGATCAGCGTTAGTATTTTGGATAAAATTTTAATGACGTAGATTAACTTTGAAAACGCTAACGCAATGATGTCTGTAGATTAGTCTTTTCAAAACGCTAACCTCCAACGCTAACCCCAAATAGACCCGCAATATACTCGTAATGATAATATTGACGTTCCCGCCTTCAAAAACGTGTTGCTTGGCACTTAGCTGAGTTAATTAATTAATGAAATGATGATTAGGCACTGCAGGGGGGTGAAAACCAAAGTGCTAAATGCTGCTAATATTGGAGTTAATGATTGCACTTATATGCGCCGTTAGATGCGCTCCTCGCACAACTATTCTAATAAAACCTATAGGGTGTGTGTGCAAACAGAAAAAAAGTTAATCGTCAGTGAACCATCGGTCAATTGTCGGATAACGTCGGTAAACTATAGTCGTGGCATTGCTCCGTCCGCCCTTGCCTGATTTTTACAATTGACTTCGGTGTGAGCGTCATGGCCAACCACAAGTATTGCCCGAGCTTGAAATAAGTGTCGTATTCCAGATAGGACGAACCCTGGGGTGGTGAAGTAGGATCACTTGACCAGTGTTGACCCCAGTGAATTTTTTTAGTTGGTATATATGGTACTCATTTTTATTCTATGTGCATCTTTACCAAGAGTGTTTTAAGGAAAATTTGTACAAATTTGCTGGTTTCATTTCAATGAATTGTTATAATGTTATGTGATAATTAAAAGAAATATTTATACTCTGTATTCTTGAAATTGTTATTTTTTTTTATTTTTAATATTTTTATTATATTCCTGCTAAGTGTTCGAAAAAATATCTAGAAGTAATACTTTACAGATCAGAGTTGTTATTTATCCCAGAGTAATTTTTTCTTTTGTCTAATTTTCATTTTTATTAAAGTAAAAAAGTACTCCCTTCGTCCTATAATGATCTTCCCAGTTCGCAAAACGAAGAAAAATCCTAAGTTTTTTCAATCTATTTTATTTAAATATTGGTATAGAAATAAAAAATAAAACATACATATTTAAAAACTACATCAAAAGTTCAACAAAATAAGTGGTGACAAGAATATTTTATTTTATCATATAGGCCATGAAAAAACACAAATAAATATAAATTCCCGTGAAGTTGGAATAGTGCTCTAGAAAGATCATTATAGGACGGAGGGAGTAGTAAAGTACCAACCTATAATATAGAACTATGTGTCCATCAACCACTACACAAAATGAACTCACCTCGGACATATTGAGTCCCGCACTGAACTCACTTATATATTTTGGTCCATTTTTCTCTCCCCATCCGGTGTGGGCGCATTGAATCCCAAGAGATATTGTGATTGGCCAATCTCAACTTGCCATGTGACTTTTTCTTTTAAATTTTTTTAATATTATACATATGTGTGTATTGACTATTGAGTTATTCTTTAATAGTCCTTTTGATGTAAAAGAGGAGAAGAAGTATTGGAGGAGCTATGTCTTGGACCTACAAAAGCTGACGTGGAGGAGAGAAGTAGAAGGTAGTCTTCCCTTTTGTAATTCTTACAATGTGGATGTTAATGTTGACAGTGTGATGGAAAAGTGATCAGAATGTAATATAGCAGTGTGATCAGACAACGGCCGGCAGACCACCGTACTGGTAAATATCGGGGATCGCGGCGATAGATAGTAATGTAGTAGTAGCAGTATTATATGACAATGTGGTAAATGTCACAATGTAACAACGGTAGTGTAAACTCTTTTTTTGGTCTTAAAAGACTTAAGAGTTATAAATGTAAGCTTGAATGATGTTTTCTATTAACATGAGAAGAAGATTTTATACAGTAAGCTGCAACCCACCTCTCCTAAAAATATAGGTGCCGCTGCTATACATATGGAAATGACCTATTCTAATGCTAAACAGAAGGGATAACACTGCAACAATCATTTGAATATTCAAAAGAAGATTTGACTAAGTATTATTCTTAACACGCCCCCACAAGATGGAGGATCCATCAGAGACTCCAATCTTGGACCGAAACCGTTGAAATAACGTCGTACCCAAGGGTTTTGTGAGAAGGTCTGCGGGTTGGTCATGCGACGAGATATGGCGCACATGGAGTCGGTTGGCAGCCACGAGATCACGAACAAAGAAATAGTCGAGAGCCAGATGTTTCATGCGGGAATGAAAAACAGGATTTTTGCAGACATAGGTGGCACCAAGATTATCGCAATACAATATGGGTGGTCGGTTGACTACTACACCAAGCTCACGAAGCAAGTTCTGTAACCACAATGTTTCCGCGGTTGCGTGAGCAAGAGCACGATACTCGGCTTCGGTGGAGGAACGAGAGACCGTTTTCTGCCTAGCCGATTTCCACGAGACCGGATTGGAGCCCACGTAAACCACATAAGCAGTGGTGGACCTATCGCCGTCATGAACACCACCCCAATCGGAATCCGAAAAGACAGTAAGCTGCAGCGGAACCTTAGCATGTAAAAAGAGGCCATGAGAGAGCGTACCACTTAAATACCGTAGAACCCGTTTTGCGAGTCATATTTTAATGTTTTCATAATTTTACTCTTATCTAGAGACTTGTTCCTAAATTTAATATTTCAATTCTATTTAACTAAATTTGTTCTGTTAAAAAGTAGTTTAAAAACATTTAATACAATTGTTATTCTTAACCGACTCGAAATTTTTCTTATAAGAATGATACGGTCATACCGGTAACAATTTTTTTCTAGAGCTTATTATAAAAGCCAAAATTAGTGCGAATAGTACACAACTAAAGAAGTCGTTTGAATTCCCTTGGACCCCACTACATGTCTCCTCTTCATCGATCATCTGTTCAAATATGGCCCAATTTTCCTCAAAATTATTCGACGACAGTCTTTAACGTTAACGTTTTTATAATTAATTTACATTTTAAATATTTTATCTAAAATGATAACGGTAATTGAAAAAACTTTTCCCAAACAAGACCTTAGTTAATGATAAATTTTTTGTTGAACTATTGTTTGGAGTATTTCCTTCAAATTCTTTAAGGCCTCGTTTGGTACACGGAATTCAAATTATGAAATTGGAATTGAAGACTTCAATTCCAATTCTGGTGTTTGGTTGCACAAAAGTTATGTGGATTTAAAATTGACAATGCAAAAAATAAATTGAAATTGGTGATTTCAATTCTTTGGAATTGAATCACATGGAATTTCAATTCCAATTCTATCAATTCCGTATACCAAACGTACCCTAAATATTTTTTGTTTATGATATTAGACTAAAGTTATTTTTAATTTAATCAATTTTATTTCAAATGTAACATTTTAAAAAGTTATATATTTAATAAAAGTATATAAAACTTACAAAATAAGAAATCATATTACTATATATTAAACAAACACAACAAATAAATTTTGGTCATATTAATAAGGCATGAGAAGTTCATTTCTTGATGGAGAAAAAATTACATGAACATTTTTATTATATGATTATGATGAACATATTTTTTATTTAGCATAAAAAAGCATGCTACTCCATTCGTTCCAATAATTGTTCTTCTCTGAATCTAAGGCTCACGTATGAAATATAGACTTTATCACACTTTATAGTAATTACAAGACTATCCCTTTTAATAAAAGATCCATCCATTTATGATATCATTGCACTAAAATTCATAAAATAAGCATTACATACTTACAATAGAGATCTAAAGTAAACAATAAAAGCTAGCGTTCTTAATTATTTAATACTCATAATGCTCTTAATTATATTTTTATTTTCATTTAGCTTTAATTTCACACATTTCCACCCAACAATTTGACCATTAATATATATATGTATGTATGTATAATTGGATTGGTTTCAATTTCCTTTTAAAAAAAGTGTGAATATAACCCCTCCATTTATAATTTGGTTAAATAAAAGGGTTAAGCAAAAATCAAATCACCGACCAGTATATTATGCAGTAGTGTATTAAATCTCCATTAATTATAACTCTCCCGTCTCCTTCCCCTTCTTCTCCCCCCCCCTCTCTCTCTCTTCGGTCCAGCCATGATGACGTCAGGCGGTACGGACCAGAGAAGGGAATTCGCCGTCGCCGGCGGCGGCGAAGGATCTTCATCCACGTCACGACTAATGGCGGCGGCGATGGCCACGCACCAGGTGCCGCCGCCGGTCCCGGTCCCGCAGCTCAGCCGCTACGAGTCGCAGAAGCGGCGGGACTGGAACACCTTCGGGCAGTACCTCCGGAACCAGCGGCCGGCGCCGGTGGCCCTGTCGCAGTGCCACTACACCCACGTCCTCGACTTCCTCAAGTACCTCGACCAGTTCGGGAAGACTAAGGTTCACCTGCACGGCTGCGTGTTCTTCGGGCAGCCCGACCCCGCCGGCCCGTGCACCTGCCCGCTCCGCCAGGCCTGGGGCAGCCTCGACGCCCTCATCGGCCGGCTCCGGGCAGCCTACGAGGAGAACGGGGGGCTTCCCGAGGCCAACCCGTTCGCCAGCGGGGCGATTCGGGTGTACCTCCGGGAAGTCAGGGATTCTCAGGCGAAGGCCAGAGGGATCCCATACAAGAAGAAGAAAAAGAAGAACGTATTGAGGAGAAATAATAATATTATTAGCAGTAGCAATATTAATATTATTAATGATAATAATAATAATAATAATAGTAATAATAATATTATTATGAAGGGTAATAATAATAATAATAATAATAATCATCATCATCAAGAAGAGACCAGTGCTGCCCCTAGCTTCCAGATGCAATCAGCTTAGCTTCATGGATTGAAAGGGTGGGTTCGCAAGGAGAGAATGGTAATTAATATTTCAATGCTTTAAATTTCCAATTGAATAAAATTATTGTTATTTTCTTAATAACTATTGATTCAATTCTTGTACACTTTATATATGTAATTATAAATATATATTCCTTCATCTCAGGCCAGTAGAGTCTTCATAATAATGTATGCCTATATTAATCTTTAATTCTTAGTATATATAGAAAATCATATTTAAAAAAATGGACAGTAAGCAAATCTTCTTCATTTTTATTAATTCTTTATTTTAAATGATTCATTTTAAATTGGTGGAATTGTCCCTATTATTAAGCTAGAATTAGAGCATTTGGTCCACTATTCAATTCAAGAAATTTTTCAGAGTTTCATTTAATGTTTTTGTCTAGCTTGCTTGTTTGTGTTTGGAAGTTCAGTGAAAGTTCCAAATAAAAAGTACACATGCATGTGTGATTATTGTTTTCAATGAATCTTTAAAATTCAAGGTTAAATGGTTTTAATCATCACTTTGAGGTTCAATTAATAGTGTGTCATTAAATGACATGGTCATGGTGTTTTCATTTACCCTATGGATCATCATGTGCTTTTTTGCAAATTGATTTTGTTCTTGTACCCAAAAAAAGTGTTTTTGTTCTAAAATTAGTACTAGGGGTAGGATGGTCCTCAAAAATAGTATCCCCTTTCTTCCAATTTTTCAATATCACCAATATAATTCTTCGACCATTAATAATTTTATTTTTATAAAAATATATATTGTAAAAATTTGCTATAGATCAAAATTATATCTTAAAGTTTGCCAATAATTATATTCTCATTATTATAACTAATTATTTATTTCATATAAATCTCAATTAACGTTTGTAAAGTTTAACTAAGAAAAATTAAATGCAAACATTATTTTAGGATGGAGCTCAGAGAGTATATTCTTTGAGGATAAAAATATTTTTTTGAAATATATATGCTCCCATCCGTACGTGTATTTCTTTTGGATTTTAATTTGTACCCTATTTGTGCACATTAAATAAATAAAGACTCGTTTTCTTTTCGACTAACACACAAAGTAAATGATTATATCAAATAAATATATTTATTTTTTTGTTTGTGTGAAAGTCCGAATGTCGTATTTTTTTTACTGTATTATTCACTTTTACTTTTTATAACGAAAATTGGATAATAAGTTCATCGGGCATGCACGAACCTTTTTACTTCTTTATTTTATGATTTTTATCCACATACTTTAAGGAATTTACTCGTTTACCTACTTTAAATGCAATGATAATCCACAAAGATGTTTTCCAAAAACAAAAAATAATAATAATTACTCCCTCTATTCCAAATATTTATTCTATTTTAATTTTTGTGGTCAACTATTTGAATCTCTCACCACAAATCACAGGAAAAAGACATTTAATTGTGATATAAAATTATCAATAAATTAATTTTGAAATTTAGTTTTGAGATATCATATTTTTACAATCTATGTTTATATATAAATAAAGATATTAAAAGCCAAAGTATTGCATTAGAACCGTAAAAAGTCAAACAAGAAGTAAAATATGGGACGGATGAAGTATATGAATTAAGTTGTACTTATAGTGCTATGTTTTTGCTGCTATATACTCCATCCGCTCACCAAAACTGTTTCTACTTTGACTTTTGTTGAATTTATATTTTGTACGTAATTTGTCTTTTCAATTAAATTATTTGCATCGAAAAGAAAAAAGAAACAATTAACTTAAATAATAACTTGTTATATTAATGCAAGATGGATCGATCATATTTCAATGACTTTATTTAGATATTAATTTGTCATTTTAATAAGAAAAAAGAAAATGTTTTGGTGAAAGCAAACAATTGGAAATGAAGGATTTTAGTAAATAAAGTGATTAAATAGATTGTACGAGTAATTAAGATACCAAGCTTATTCGTAAAGTGAATAGAAGAGAATTAGTTCTTCTATATCTTTAATATATGGAGTATGTTATGCTAATTCATAAAATAAACCATTTATCTCATTCAAATATTAATTAGCAAAAAAAACATTGTGATATTTAAAAACTACTACGAACAACTGTTTATGGTCCATGGTTGACTTTTTACAAAAATTGATAGCTCGTTTCTTAAAAAATACACTTTTTTTAAATCCCTTAAAATTCAAAATCTCTCATGTTTTCAGGGACGGATGGAGTACTATTTTACACTTTTACTTCTTCCATTTAAACCCAAAAAAATCAGTATTAACTCTTTTCCCGAAATGGGAATATACTTTGGGTTTATTACAATAGACATATATATTTGAGTTTATTCTCAAATCTCAAGTTATAAATTTTAGTTTGACTCTAAAATCTAATTTAAAATTTTAGTTCAAAATTTAAAATCACATCCAATTAATCTCCTTAATTACATGCACCTCGATATATATCCTTTTTACTCATCTTCCCATGCGTAAAATGTACCACCTAGTTAGAAATTATTTTTCGTCCCACAAAAAATCATTCTACAATTTTTCGACATATACATACATCATGCATACGAAAACGTCTCTCTTTTTTTGTTTAAGAAAAAAATTATGCAAGTCATTTTATTGGTTGTTTTTCGATAAATGTTCATTTAACTTTTAACATTTTGTAACCAAACATGCCTAATAATATAAGCAATTGTAGAAGTTTGTCTGAGCCTAAACTCTTATGAACGATTCTCGGCAGTTAGCAGCAATGTAAGTGTTAAAAGAGTATTTCACATCGGAACTTAAAGAAAAAACAAATTGATTTATAAACTCTTGAGATAAATTAATTAATTGATTGAATTCAATCTTTTAATGTATTTCAATATAAATGTCTTATGACCCAGTCCAGTAACCATTTCTCTATCACAAATTCTATCAAGGTATCAATGCTAGTTTTTAGCCCCACTTCATTTGTTAAGGTGTGAATCTCAAAGCTTATTCTGACACATATTTGTCTTTAGCCCAGTTTTCCATACGGAAAACGGTCTTTGACCCATATGACCCGATTGTTCGTTTGAAAGTCAATGCCCAACAATTCTTAGTCATAGTCATTAGGCATTGAACTGTCTATCGAACATTCAGATTAACTCATTAAGATTATATCGTACTTTATTTTTCAATACTCTAGTGAGCCAAGGTTTGAGCTTTCCACATTTTATTTTTGTTTGGAAACGGAAAGTAGTATTCCAACATGTGGTTAATTAATTAAGCTAGGTAGGCTACTCTAATTTTTTGATGAATTTATTTAACCCTAAATTAGCTAGCTACTCATAATTATTAATAAATAAAACAACCCATAGAGAGGCCTAGACCAATGTAACATATATGTGTCCTTATTATGCAATACAAACTAAGGAGTAATAATTACCTCCTCCCATCCAAATTATTTGTCAGAATTTGATGTTTATGCTAAATTTAACTATAAATTTTGAGAAAAATATATTTAATTATAAAATAAATTTAAAATAATTGGGTTCACTTTAAAATGTAGTCGTAGTGGTGCCACAAGGGGTGACAAATTTGGAGTGTCTCTAGTTTTTATCACGATACTTTTCTACAATTATTGATAAATATCATAATTTCATACTTTGTAATAAATGATCCCTACCTTACAAGCATGTTTTCATATTTAATCTATAATTCTAATAAATTATGTAAATGATACTCAATTTTTGAAAATTATCCATCAATCCATCATGAAATAGATGTGAAAAAAATATTTTGTTATATTTGACTTAAAAGACTATTTGAGGAATAGTGTTTTAAAAATAAAGATCATTTATGTAATAACTTATGATTGGAGATCAAATATAAAAACTACGTGTAATTAAGATCATTTATGTAACTTATTCTAGGGTACTAAAACATAATTACTTTCTGAATGTAGGACTATATGTTTTTTTCCAATGTAAGACCATTGGTTATTATCCATTAGTCATTATTCAAGTTAATGTCCACCATCACTGGACATTATTCTTCTTACTAGACATTATTAAGTACTCTCTCCGTTTCTTAAAACCCTTCCTCTTTCATTTTTTTGTTTTTCTTAAAACACTTCCTTTTTCTACTATTAAAAAAACCACTTTTATCCCTACCTTTTCATACCTTACCTATCATGTCATACTTTTTCACTAATAACTAAACTATCACATCTTATTTTTACTCATCACATCAGAGGCAAAATTGTAAAGTCAACTAAAATTACACTTTACTTATTTTGCCTCAAAATCAAAACAAGAATCATTTTAAAAAACAGATGAGTACTATTTAGGAAATAAAAAAATTTAAGTCTTACATTGGAAAAATGATTTAGTTCTAGTCCTATTTAGTGCAAATTTCACCTTATTCTAAAATTATTTATAGGATATTATATATTTTGATTAATTATTAAAATTAAACTAGACTCAAAAATAAAATGAGTTTTTTTGGAACGAGAAGGAGTATCATTTATGTCATTCATGATTTTTGTATGGTAGGGATAGAGTATTGGGTCCTCCTTCTAGGGCCTCTCTCTATTCATCTTTAAGCTCCAAATTGTTGTTCAAAAGCTTGAATTAGTGCAAAGATAGGGAAATATATTTTATTCATGTTCTATATAGACATAATTTTTAGAAAGAAAGAAACACTAATATCCATATTAAAGTAAACAAAACAAAAATATGCATACTCCTAGATTCCACCTCACATAAAAAAAAAAGAGAAGAAAATAACATTTTTATAATCTCTTGAGTTAGACTGATTAATCGATAAAATTCAATCTTTTAATGTCGTTCAATTCAGGTATTTTCTGACCCAATCTACTCACCTTTATCTCATCCTAAATTCTACAGTATCATGGCATCAATAGGGCTGTCAACGGATAGTCGAAAATTCGATTACCGTCCGCATCCATATCTGTTTAAAGAGGAAATATCTGCATCTGTTTTAAACGGAAATTATCCGTATCCGATTAAGGATATCCGATTACTAAATGGATACGGATTTGGTAATTGTATATCTGATCCGTTTAAAATTTGATCCGAATATGCACCCGTTTAAATAACCATTTATCCAAATATCCGATTCGTTATATATAGTTTTTCCTAATGTTTTTATGTTTATATTTTATTTCTCTATTGATATTTCAAAGTATATAAGACATTTTATATACAAAATAAATGTATAGAAACATAAAAATATGTACAGACATATAAAAATATGTGTATATGTGTGTTGTGTATATCTTTTTATCATATGAAGTTATCGTAGAATATCATAAATCATGAAAACAAAGACAATAATTATCCCATAACAAATTATAGTTCATTTAATAATAGTTTGACTTTAATCTAATTTAAAATTAAAATATTGTTTAATTTGATTTTTAAAATTAGAAATGGATACGGATATATCCGATATCCGATCGATATCCGAATGATGCGGATACGGTTTTGATTTTCAGTATCCGTCAAGATCCGTATCCGAATTCGATATCCGACAAAAATAAACGAATACGGATTTGGTAATGGCACATCTGGTCTGATTAATATCCGTTTACACCCCTAGGTATCAAAACAAGTTTTGGCCCGCCTTGTTTCTCCTCCACATACTAGCTATGCGATGTGAAAATTTAATTATTTATTCTCTTAAAACACCAAAATTAATAAATAAATAAATCAAAATCAAGTCATTCTCCAAAAAAAATAAAGAATAGATAAATTAATTGAAGAAAAGAAAACTACTCCTCTGAGTCCTCTTTGTGAGTGCGTCCTATAAAAATTCTCATATTTTCTTTTTTAATTTTCTCCGTCCTAAAACACTTTCATTCGTCTAAAGGAGAACATGCATTCATAAAACATTTTTCTCTCCTCTTCATATCTTCTAACCACACATTTTTTCCTTTAAATATTTTTGCACAATATTTTTTTGTGTGTAATTTGTAAAGATGTTTTATTGAGTATATTTTGAATTCTAAGATACGTACATTCATATATATATATATATATATATATATATATATATATATATATATATATATATATATATATATATATATATATATATATATATATATATATATATATATATATATATATATATATATATATATATATATATATATATATATATATATATATATATAAA